CTCCAGCATCCTGGCTGAGTGGAAGAGCCTCTCCGGCTTCAATTGAGCAGAATGAAAGTCCTTCTTCAGCAAGTGACATGATCAGAAATGCGCTCAATTAGAGCAACAGGTTAGTTTTTGTCAGGACTTACACTTGCAAGTCTCGAATGAGTCTTGTTGATCCTCCCGCCCAACGGCAGCGGTGGAGCGGAAAAGAAACTAACTATCGGTTGGCTCCAGTCGTTTCTATCTCTCTTGACTTGACTTGAGCGCTGGTAGACTCATTTTGAATGTTCCCGTGCCAGATTTCCGGGTTTCCTGTTCCAACCTTTTGCAATATACACAGGGACTTGTTTCTTCCCAGATCTTCCCAGTCTTTAGTTCAAACACATTGAAACTCAACGTTTGGTTTGGACAGTCTGAGACTCGTGCATCAACAGTTTTTGTCGTTGTTATCTTTTTTGCATGATCAACAGCGAGGTCTAGATGTAGTTCATGCATCCTTGGGATAAACCTGCGAATGTCTCAAGACCCTGTTTTAAGTAAACAATTGGAGGAACAACTGGAAAACAGTAGTATCGAATTGGGGCACCTACCATACAGCCTGGCTTGCTTTGCTAGCATTACTTTACGGCCGGCAAAGAAAGAGGATGCACGCTTTCTCCTCAAGGCTGAGTGCTGAGCAGCCCCAATATCTTGTGGAATCGCCGCTGATTTGCCATGGCTCGTGCCTCTGCGCTCTCCAAGGCTCTTTTGGCCGCCGGAGCCATCGTGGCCCTGCGCCTTTTGTCCGGTGAGACCTTTGTGACGCCGAAGCAGCGCAACGAAGCAGCAGCTGCAATGGCAGCTGCCATGGTGGCAGTATCTGCACCAGCCATGGCTGAGGCAAGGATTTTGGTGTTTCTCATTGCTTGTTTGGTGCCTCAAGTTAAACATGTCAACCATAGCAGCCTCTTGAGTGACGCCCATGTTTGCGACTGTATTTGCAGGTCCCGACCTTCTCAGTCTTCGGGTTTGGCAGCGGCCAGTCCGACTCTTTGAAACATATTTTTAGGAAGCTGACACGGCTTTTGCAATTCCTGGTTCTGGGCGCAGTTAAAGCAGTGAAAGAGTGCAACTGGTAACCACGAAGCAGTATGATTCACTTGCATGTTGCACACACATCCCCAGCAATCTGTGCCTAATCAAGGATGCCTACAGCCAGAATGACAACCCGATCAACCCATACTCCCAGTTCAGCGATGGCAGCGACACAGTCTACCAGGCCAAGAACCAGCCTGAGATGGAGAGGAGGACCAAGTCATTGAAGGCAGGGCTGAAGCGTTTCGAGGACACTCCAGGGTACATCCAGACCAAGCAGGCCCAGGCACTCAAGTCCAACCTCCAGGAATCCAATTCCTTGAGGCAGGACCTCCTGTACTTCTCTGGCGCGGAGGGTAGCCCAGCTTGGGAGAAAGC